GTTTCAACATAGTTTTTATGATCATTGTGGCGGAGCTACTTTTCTTCTTCTGCCGGTCGTTTCAAGTGACTCAAAGCATAATTTACTACGTAATGTTTAGTTTTGGCTTGCCTAAGACATAGGTTCTTTTTCGTATCAGTATGCACAACCTCTTGATAAACCCCAAGTTTTCAACAAAGAGCTAGCGAAGCACTTATGACCGATTTTTGTCGGTCGATAATGAATATTCAGGACAAACTAACATAAAATGCCTCTGAGTTGTGATATTCATGAATGATAATCCGTACGCCGATGGACCACGCTTGCATTTCTTTGCAATGTTACGCTCTAGCACGGATGACATGCCGCTGCGGTAAAGGCGAGCCCCATTCATAATATCCACTGCCCACCAACAGAACTTATTCTGCAGAGTTATTATTCCCGATAAATTTTTATGGCATCAACTAGCAATTCAGCTTGTTGAAGGGCAGAGAAAGGTTTGCGGAAAGAAATGGTCAAAAACACATCGACCCATCCGTCGGTCCTCACTGAATTAATGATATTCTGGAAGTTGCTTTTCAATTTGAGAAAATTTTTGACTAGGAGCTGTTTATTAACAAATCAATATAAAATCAGATAAACATTCATAAGTCGTATAACATGTACACGAATAAACTGAAATATTAAAACACTGGCGAAGCGCACCGGTAGACCGCTATGATCAAGCGACAGTGTTTTATTTCGTGCTTTAGCAGGGTCGCAAGGAATCCCGTTAGCTACAATTTGCAAAATGCTAGTCCTCAAAGTTTAAGAAGTTTGTGGCGTGTCAGCTGTAAATTTCGGCTTCAGTTACCCGAAAGATGGAAAGTTGCTCGTATTCGAAAAAGACCTCGCGAGAAGAGCTGAATTTAAATCTTTTAGTCGCACATAACTGGGGGATATTCCCTTGAAGTCCTAGCTTTTCAGCTCTTCCTTTCCTGAGTTAGCAGCTTTCCTACTAAGGTTTTCGCCTTTCCCTACATGAGACCCGAACGATTCTAAGGAGTTGAGTTTGAAATGTTTTGGTTGTACTTGAGTAGGAGACATTCCTGTAAAGTTTCAGCTTTCTGGCT